TTTAATGAAATGTTTATTATTGTTTTATAGGAAAATTTATTAAAAAAATATAATTAAATTGAAAAAGTTTCATAAGTAAAAGCAAGAAAGGACGGTTCCAAGTAAATACAAAATAAATGCATAAGCAACTTAGGTAAGAGGTGAATTACGATTTATTTAGTATGAAACGATTCTGACAGAAAAGCGAAGGCATAACAATAAGCCTGGATAAGTTTAGAAAGAGAGAGAGAGAAAGAAAAAGAGGAATAAAGAATGATAAGGGGAGAAAAAGGAGACGCAAAGAGAACAGGATAAGGAGAAGAATTGACGAGAATAAAGAACGATAATGGGAGAAGCACGATCTGATCACCAAGCTTAGAAAGAATTTTGCGAAAATTAACTTTCGATCCTTTATTGGGGATCTGTGACCAGCAAATGCAACCATTTTGTCCCAGAAGATCTTTTAGCAAAATGTGATCTTTTAAATTTCGCGCCACATTTACTCTGCCGACATGCAACTACCGTTTAATAAGAAAAAACTTTGGGAATTCTGTTTACCATTTAGAAGTTGAGAATGCCTGAATGTTGAAATTCATGATATTTCAAACAAGACAAAGTTGTTTTTAGTGATGAGGTTCGTTCCTATCTGTCGGAGTAAAACTATCTCATCCGAAAGTCTGAACTCATAAGAAAAATAGTCGAAGAACACTTCCAATTACAAAGAGTGACAGATTAATGCTGTTTTTGGCCTCGTAAATTGACGGGACCATCCTGGGCTGCTGGTTTGACTATTGCATGTGTTACGTATAGATGAACACTTTGCGAGTGGGTTTTTTTAGCTTAGGGTTGTGCGAGGCAGGCTAGCCCCATACACCTTCGGGCGGGAAATACATCAGCTTCGCGTCCAAATAAAATCTTACTACCCTATACCGCGATATTAGGAAAAGACCAGTGACAGACGGACATAAGCGAATAAGGAGGAAGGGTGATAGGGAGCGGGAGAAAGAGGGAAAGATATATCCGTGTACGGTGTTCCGATCGTAGAAATAACAATGAAATTAAACTCTACTCAGCTCGTCGATACAAAATTATGTAAATAGTTGTATGTATTGGGGATTGTTGGACAAGAAGTTATACACATAGAAGCGAATTCTCTACTATTCACTAACTTAGACATAAACAGGAAACGTCAGGCGAGCTCTACTTGCTGCTGGTTAAAATCATTTCTATATAAAAGTTTTGTGTAACAAAGCTGTGTACAGTTCCAATTTATGAGAAACTTCTGATTTTATCATTCTTTTAGAACTTCTATGAATGGTTATATGAGTATGTTTTCGATGAAAAGATGATATAGATCAAGTGATTCAGAATTCTGCTACAGTTGCGATATAGAGCCTTTGAGTTCTTTTGCGTGCTATAAGCAAAATACCAAAATTCTTATAAATTCACCCTTTATCTACAATGTTTTGTAATCATTCTGACCGAATGACCTGAGTGATTGGTTGATGAGAAAATAAATAATAATAATGGAATTGTAGTTGAAAACTGAAATAATGGTAATTTCTTGGACGGTTATACACATATACATATAAAGAAATAAATAAAAAAGAGAATTGTAATAATTTCTTATTTAGTGTTTTCCATCTTAGTATAAAGAAAAAATTATTGTTTCTCTTTAGAGAATGTCATAAGTTTCTTGATTTGATTTCTTTTTATTCATTCATTGCTTTAGAGCTTTAGTCCATTGTTCTATTATTTCATTATCATTTATAATATTCTTTCATATTTTTTTAATATCACTGTAAATTCTAATAAAATTTAATTTCTTTCAGTTATTTGCTCTGTAAATTTTTATAAAGTTTTCTTATATATTGTGTTATGTTTTTGTTCTTTTTAATAAGAGTAAAATGCTTCCAAAAAATTGTATTTGTTTTTATATTCTTCTCTATGGTTTTTTTTCTTTTCCTTCTGCCCTTATGTATACGTTTACATTTGCATTTCATGAATTAAGTGATATTTGATTTCTATAGATGATGAAATCGAAAAGTTAAAGAAAACGAAAGACTAACGTAAATGTAACAAAAAAAGTAACAAAGAATTTCTAATAGAAAGTGTAATATTCATGCATGCATTAGTAGAGATTCATTCTTGTCGTATGAGTAATCGTAAAATTCATGCAATCTTCCTACAAAAGGCTCTTAAATGACGTTAAGAAAAAAACACTCATACGTCCCAATTACTGGCAATGTACTAATGCTAATGGTAATAATTGTCAGAAAATGTGAAAAGAGAAAATCAAACGAAAGAAAAAAACAACACAGGAGATAAACTAAACTTCGATCTAGTGATAAATGAGTTTTTACTACCCATCACCGAAGGATGAGACGTATGTCCACTTTGTCAAAACGTTTTGCGACGCTCGGAAGGAAGAATCGGAGATCCCACAAAGATTATATATATATATTCTTAGTCGGCATCAAATTCTAAATCGATTTAATCATGTCCGTCTGTCCGTCTGTAGAATGTCTGTTATAATCATTCTCCTGGCCGCAAAAATGAAACTATCGATTAAAATTGGCGGAAACATTGGAAGTTCTTGCATACAGGTTGATTTTGTAAATGGGCCCAATCCGTTTGGTTAAGGGACAAGCCCACAGTACCAAGTAAACTGAGAATACCCCCGTTTTTCAAAAGGAATAAAAAATTGTTTTCTGCTGATTGCTTATAAACTGTAGAAGATAAATGTACAAAAATTTTAACGCATATTTTATGGGCGACGCCGTAGTAGCTGTACAAACATGGAAAAAAATTGATCACGTCTACCCAATATTATACTTTATCAAAATTTAATTCTTTTTTCAATACCCTTGTAGGCCGTAGAAAGAAGCTTCCAAAACCCCATAAAGTATGCAAACGCGCGGACAGGAAGATACTTAAACATGTCCGTCTGTTCGTCTGCCTATCTGTCTGCCTGCGCAATTGTATAGTATTTGTGGAAAACGTTCTCCCTGTAGCGAAAATGAAGATAAACTTTTCCAAAGACGCCCACTCGCCTACGCGACCAAAACTTTTATTTTGAAAATGGAAAAAATCAGGCACGTTCACTCCACATTATAGAGCATAAGAATTTTATTTATTTTTTTTTTCTTTTGTTCTTTTTTATAGGTAAATGTTGAAATATAGTATTTAACGCGAGCGCAATCTTTGAAGTTTTGCTTCAAAAACTTGAATTTTCTCTCTTTTCACCCATAATTCGTTTGATTTGTAATAATGGAACTTTTGAACTATTGCGATGATATTACTTTCGGAGTTGATTTCATTTATTTGAAATTACATTTTTTTGTTTTATGCAAGACTTTTATCGCTACGAAGGGCCATTTATAGGGTAGAGGGACTTATGGCGACTTAAGATATGTGGATGTTAAAATGTCAATGGGAGGGCAATTGCGCATGTATTAACAATATATCGTTCTTCTATTTGTGTATTTTAAAACTTGAGGTGTCATATGAAAGTCAATCGGCTTTTTTGAAATCATTTTTGCAAAATATTTTAGAAAAACCGTTTAAGAGATAATACCATCTTGTAATCACTTTGACTGATTCCGTAAGTGTTCAAGAGTGACATGACGCATGCGGAGTCTATTTCTTGATACGGTCCAAATATTTGAGTTTTCTTAATTAAAACGTGCGAGACAGCAGCAGTTAAATCGATCCGGTCTCGGCCGAATTAGGCGATTGGTTACTTTATAGCTCCTGATGCCGTTATAAACAAACATTGCAAAACACGAACAGTTTTTTTTTACTTTTTTTATGATTGGTGAGATGTCGTGGTGTTTCCGATTTGAAAAAACAAAAAAAAAATTTCATGTAGCATTAGCTGTTCTTTAATGACAATTGATTACTTAATACATTTCATTCTAGCTTAGCGAGAAATAAAATCTTGGTAAAAAGTTTAAAAAAATGCCTTTTTTATGTTATTTTGTGATATTTTTATGCTTGAAATTCTAATGAGTAAGGGATTAATAGTAATAGTAGTCGGTTATGGTTGAAAGTATTCTAATGAGGAAACTAGGTAAAATCTCGTATAGCGCTTAGTTTATATGTCGATTTTAATATGAGTAATGAGAAATTCATTTCATATATACATCTGCCTTTGTATATACGTAACAGTATAGTAGAGTGAGAGTGAGAGAGAGAGAGAGATGGGAGATATCTTACGTGTATGCTTGCTTATAAATGTTTTGTATTTTTTGAATAAATTCTTTAAAATATCTGTACACTACATATATATACATATATATAGATATATATGTACGTACAAATAATGTAAATATGTATATATGTACATATAATAATAAAAATATATATATAATATTTTATTTACTCATTCATACACTATTATTTAAAAAAAAAAATTATGCAAAACAAAAAATTCTAATTAAAAAATGAGAAAAAAATTTATTTTACAAACATTTCTTAGGTGTGTTTTTTTTACAAGTTTACTAAATTAGAGTTTTTTTTTTGTTTTTTTTTTTTGTTTTTTAAATTAAAAACGGATTATACTTGGCATTGGGTCTAAAAAAATATTTTGGAATTTTGTTTTTGCTTTTAATTAATTACAAATATTGAGACCTTTCTTTTGTTGCATTTTGTTTTAGGTTATACTATGTAATGTTATTTGTAATAAGAGAAAAAATAAAAAAGAATTAATTTACGTGTATTTTACTTATCTACTAGGTTAACTCTTTAATTATTTTATTTTGTATTAGAAAATAAAAGGTTTCTAGTGATTGTAGTATAAATATTTTTTTATTTTTTTTATTTTTTATTTTTGATCTTGGAGTTAACCAGTTTTCTTTTCCAAAGGCTTCTCATATTTTAGACAATATTTTTATTTATTTAAAAAATTCCCAATTATATTATTATAGTTTTTTTTTTTTTTTTAATTTTCAAAATATATTTAATTTTTTTACATCATTTCATTATTTATTTAACTAATCAATGATTTTTTTTTTTAAATTTTAATAATAATAGAAAAAAGAAGAAAATTTGAGATAACAGAATAGATATAACTAAAAATAATTTTCAATATGATATGATGTCTTATTTGATTTTACGATTCAGTATATAAATGATATATGTAAGCACATAGAACACACACACGCACACACGTTTGTATTTTCGAAAGCGCATATATATATATACCTATATGTTTAAGCACATCTTTATTTATATTATAGATATGCTTGGCTACATGTGCACATTGACGCAGACTCACGTAGTGCTAACGGAAAACCGCTTCCAACTATCAAAAATTGATGGTAAAGGTCATATAAATGAATCTTAAAACCAATTTGCTATGCAATCTGCATAAAAAATGAGTCATCGCAGTGCGTACTAAGCATGTAAAAGGCATAAAAAATTTATTGCCGACGTGAACTGCAGGTGTGAAGAGACGTTACATGTAAAGAGGCCTGTATTGGAATGACCTGCTTTCCTAACACTCGGGAATCGAAAAGTCAACATTTTGGTCACCAATTAGAAATAGCTCGGAGTCTACACGTAAAGATGATAGCAGTCTACCGAGCAATGTCAACGTCATCTACAGCCACCCTGGCAGGATTTTACCCTACAACGACTATGAAGTAACTTGTATAATAGTAATTAAATATTAAGAAATGAAAAGAAGAAAGAAGAGCATCTAGCGGAAAATATATGTTTTCAGAATCATCATCAAAGAGTGAACATCACTGCAATGATATGGAAGTGGATCTTAAATACTGCAGCGAGTTTCATGGAAAGAAGCAACGCAAAAAAGTTTTTTCTCTCAAGTGCTCTTTACGTATATGACAATTTTTTATAAGACAACCGGTCAGCTTACTTACAAGCAAATAACTTTTGGAAATCTGTACAAATTGCTTAATATTAACTAGGGTGGGAGGCAGCGTGCAATTATTCTGAAAATGATATTCGCAAGTGAAGCTGAATTGACGATAGTGGATACAGGCATACACAAATAACGCTTTATAGCGGCCACTTCGAGAGTAACGTAGCAAAGGTGAATAACTAAAATGCTATCTTTGTGCCTTTCTTAGGAAAAATTCTCCTCTTTATACATACACATGTTTCTAATGGTAACATTTGGAAAATTGTACCTAAAGAATGTATCATGTGTTGTGTTGTGTTGTGTTTTACAGCGTAAAGGAACATAATTACAAATGAGGATATTTTTAAAGTATTATTACTTTAGTTTATGGCATCATTTGCTTAATTATTAAATTAAAACTTCAAAAATGTTAGTTACATGCATGCGAACATTCGTATATATATATATGTCTATATATTTACATATCCATATATGTACGCGTAAACAAGATTCGAGAGAAACATCTGCATGAATGCTCGTTTATATATTAAATATTCTAAAAAGTATTGAGCCTTAAAAAGATTCAATTTCACATAAGTATTTATTTAATTCATTCATCCATCTACATTAGCATATTGGATTAAATAAGGCCATCGTCACTCTCAGACTTAATACATTTTAGACCACCTAACAACACGCTGTTGATATCCGAGCAAATGCTTTTTACATAACCGAAAACGAAACAATATGTATAAGTAATAGAAACAAAAAAAAAAAACCTAAACTTGTAAAATACTAATCTTAAAACTTTAAAAATTAAAGTTATTAGAAAAAATGACGCATAAAAGTAAATTAAAAAAATTTAGGTTAGATGCATAACAAACTAAACAAAGTAAGCCATAAATTCTTTCCTGATTACTTTTGCTGCTGCCCATCATATTAAAGTTCACCTCGTTCGATTTGTAACCATTTTAAAGGAAAAATGAGAAAAACCTAAATTTTCTTTAATTACTTCTTTGACTTATGTTAGTGAAAATCTTATCGGTGTGAATGTAAATTGCTTTCCACCCATTTATACAAGGACATCTGGGATCGGGCGACCCATTCTACATTGGCAGCAACACTACTTAACGTCATATTTAATATCTCCATACCATCACCGCGACCAAACCGATGAACTAGGGATTTTAGCTGAGCAGAAATGAAAAGAAATAAAATCAATAATAATTTTAAATAAATTAATTTCATTTATTTAGTTCACCACCTCATCGTAATCGAATTTTGTTGCTCCATATTGAGTTATCGCTGATATCACTTTGGCGAAAGCTAAAGTTCCTTGACCTAATCTTGATTCTAATTCAAACCATTTCGCTTGTAAAAATCTGCAAGCCATTGCTCCACCCGTTGGCGTGCCAGCTATAGCTTGTAATACTTGCACTACTTCCGTTGTGGGTAACATGGTCACGTGCGATAATAAGCGATTTTGGAGCCAGGCATCTTTTGTACGACCCAATGCTCTCAAGAGCTGCATCCTTTCTACATAACTTTCCGAATTACGTTGCAGTGTCACAAAACGGTCCCAACAGTGTTGCCAATAAATGTATTCACCCGATAATATTGAACCTGTATACACAACCTGCACGGAACGCAATTGGGAAAATGTTATTTTGAATAGATTTGAATAGATGTTAAGTGAAAAATTTACCTCTCTAAGATTTGGAGATATTGCTGATCCATTGTAGAATAAAAATTGATTTAAAAGATTTTTCGATTTCGTCACACTGTCAATATCTTCCCATAATACTGAAGCTAGCAACACTTCGGGCCGCATTAATCTAAAAACAGAGATTTAAAAAAATAGTTATGGAGTCAGTGAGAAATATTTTAACGAACGAATTGATAAAGTTTTTAAAAAGACCGAAGGCTAGGCAAAGGGTATTAAGCCGACAGCCTTAGATACTAGTGCTTTAAGACGTTCGCCTAAGAATTTCTCCTTCTGGGTAAATTAGTCATACTAACAGGCATTAAAAAAACTTATACTACTCATATTACCGTATGTCTAATCAGCTTATATCGATAGGCTTGGAATCGAAACCGATAACCGTTACAGCATGTCAACGCAACTGGAACAAGGAATGTGAAGGTTTGCTTTGATACAATACTTTCTTTCCCAACCGACGGACAGGCGGGCAATGGCTGCCTAACACACATGCGACCACCTGATTAACAAAGAGGGCAAATAGAGAGCAAAATTTTTGAGCGCCCACATGTTCGATTGTTTTACATTTTACACTCCACATGTTCACACCAATGTCAGTCAAGTTACATAGTTTTCATTACACTGCCTATATAATTATTTTTGCTATAACTTATACTGTAGAATTTTACATTGAATGTTCCCGAGAATGCTTTGGAAACCCTTCAGGTAAGTTTTAATAGTAGGAACTCAAACTTTTGATGAGCTAAAGGTAGGTACATTTCACATTATTCGTATCTTTGCTAGCTCGAAACGCTGTGGATACGGACATTGAAATCCCGACAGAGACTGCAATGGTCAAAAAGTATTATTATTAATTTCGCCAGAGAAATAAATTCTAAGACTAAACTCTTAAAAGCACGAGCATCTAAGGCTATCGGCTTTTACTAGAAACTATGTTTCCTTCGAGGAATTTCAACGCCTCAGTTTTCCCTCAAAAGAATTTTTCAATTGATAGGTTGAACAAGTTTTAAATGCCCGTAATTGGATGCCGACGCAGAGTCGTAAGCGGGCAAAATATTCACGAATCGCTGACCGTGAAATATATTTCATTTAAAAAGTACAAAGCTCTACTACTGACGATTAGAGTTACAGTTAGGTAGAAAGTTTCGTCGATAGCCTTCCCAACCATCATTCGCTCCCAAAGTTGTCGATAATACACTCTTGAATTTCGGGGAACGTCATTGCATTACTGTACACACGCGCCCTATCATTCGTAGATCCAAGGTGGTTATAAATAAAATTAACTTATGGATTGCAAAGGCACATTATGTGAACTTTAACCTACAACTTGGTAATCGTCCGCATCAACAATAGAATATATCGGTGTTACTTTCGTTCGGAGATCAAAATACATTTACGGACGTTTTAATAGCTGGAGATAAAATATATCGTTATATGTCCCAGCTAGCTGCGGATCGAAGTATATTCATCGAGATGTTGATCATCGTTGGCAGAACATATAATAGACTGCTGTTAAAAGTTATCCTAGACATTTTCGACGGCTAATTATCGAACTTGGGCACTTGACTTATGAATGGCGGAGAGATCTGTAGAACTCTTATCATTCACATTAGTTACCGCTTGTGTACACCTACCATTTTCGAATCAAAGCAATTTCATCGATATTTCTATCGCTGGTGATAAAACATAACGTTTGATAGTTAGTTGTAGAATGCATATAAGATTTTCAGCAGCATTCCGCGTAGGAAATAGTTGTGGAACGTTCCCTCTGTCTCTGTCAGCAAGTGAAAATACGTTGCGGACTTTTTCTTTCGATCATTATAGGATATTTTTGAATTACTTGAGGTCCGACGAAGTACTTAGTAGACGTTTCGGTCGAGAGAATATGTATGGAGGACCATATTTAGTCTGACTAATTAACGAATAATTCTCCTGAAAGTTTCAATTAATGAAACTATATTGATTAAGGCATAAAAGGGGGAAACAATCTTGTCTTCTCACTTATATGACAAATGTTTTGCTTGTTCTGCAGCAATGGTTGCAAGCAATCAATTGAAAAGGTTAAGCAAATGGATCGGTTCTGATTATTGTCATAACGAGGATTCAGATAGATGTACACCTGGCTGTAAGCGCTCGGAGTTTGATTGAAAATTTGAAAATCCTTACCTTGTTGCTTCGACACCCTCATCGTTCCAACCGATTTTATCTATAATCGTTGATAATTTCATTTTAATAAATTCGGAAAGCATTAGAAAACATTCGGAATATTTCAAAATCCGACGCCATTTCTCTAAATGCCTTAAGGCCAAAGTCATGGGGCCCCATTTCGTTTCACTTGGCAGATATTGTATCATATTCATGGTGATTTCACATGGCAGTAAATTGGCGTGGCACAGCGTAAACGCGTCCGATAGCAGACCCAAACGATCCTAATGAGTTAAAAAAAATGGTGCCACTTTAAGGATAAAAAGTAGGATAATTAAGAAAAAACATACTTGACTGGAAAACTTATTGGGATCGTTGGACAAATCCTCTATAATATTAGCCCAATTATTCTCATTGTACAAGACCCGATAATAGCCAGATTGATGGGCATTAATTTTAATCCATTTTACATTTTCGGCCACATTAAAAGTTACTGTAAAGACCCAAATTGTGACATATTCTTGCGAAAGAAATTGCGAAAGAAAAAAATCGTTTACCGTTGATATTATATAACCATAGAGTCTCAGTAATATTATTGAGATCGGTTACATAGGTTATAGGGAAGATCCATTTCATTGGTTGTACGTGTTTTGTTTGGGCAGTCGGTGCCGCTGTCGATGAGACTTGGCCACTAGTAGTTGCGTTCACGGTTGTTTTACTGTAATGATTTCCATCATAGGTTTCATCATGTATGGCAAGGAATTCTGCCGGTTGGAAGGGTTTCTGTGATATAGTAATATGATTGGCAAGTCTCGTTACGGTTAGCAAAGGAAAGCCCAATTGATGAGTCCACAATGACATCATATCCTGAAAGAATATCAATAAATGAATGAATCACTAAATCATTTCCGAAAATGTACACATCCCTTCCACCCACCTTGATGTTCTTGACACTTGTTGCCCGTTTTGTGCATATATTCCATAAATCCAATGGTTCAGCAGTTTTAAAACGATTCAATTTTAAAAATGCTCCCAAGCAGCCACGAAATCGATCCTCTCCTATAGCTGTATGCAGCATTGAGAAGATACCTGCAGTCTGTAATGTATTGAAAATGATAATCACTTTTGTTTGATAGGTGTTCCTTTTTTGCTAGGAATTTACTTTTTGAATGAAAAACTCTTCGTTGTTGCCGTCGTGGCTGGTGCCATTCATAATACTGTCCCAACCTTGTATAGCATCAATGTCCAAGGCAGCCGTTGCCATATTTAGTAAATACATATCTTTTAAAGGCCAATTCTCTTGTAACGGCGATAATATATGTATACCCAGATATTTTATAAGTCCCTCCCATAGCCAGACGTCCTTCAAAACTTTTCTCGAAGTTATACCACCGAAGAATTGCCTTACCATAGCTTCGGCAACCAACAAAGCACTCTGTTGGTATTGTGCTGTTGTAATGGATTGAGGCTCTGTCAGAAATGATGTTTTCAATGTAACCAAACCTAAGCTAGATATTATGTTACGATCCAAAGAGGGTAGAGCCACAAAATCCACTTTTGTTAAAGGATAACTGACTTCTAACCAAGTTTGCATGTATTCAAGCACTTCGCGGGAAGTATGCAAAATAAACGAGGAACGTGGCAAAAGGTCTCTGGGTGCGTAGAAGGTATACGAAGGTGCTCTCTTGATAGCGGATACAGTTGATTGACTCATGGCTGTTAAATTTTTGGCTTCAGCATCAGCTAACGGGGAAGTGGTAGTAGTCGTAGTTGTGGTAAGATTTCGAATCATTAAATTAATGTTGAGGGAATGGGTTAAGGCCGTGATATTACGCACTGGCGGCTTTTTCTGTTTCATTTGCGTATAATTATCAAATTGTGATGACTTTTTACCTCCCGCACCTGTAGCAGGCGCTGGTGTGGTGGGCAAATATGCGGGCGAGGGTTGTAACGATTCCCTTTGAAAATCGCTTACTACCCAAGCAACTGCATCAGCTGGCAGTGGTGGTGTTTCAATAAAATCATCTCTTAACTGAAAACATTACAGAAATCATTTACTAATATTACGAAGGCTTTTCTCGCCTAGTTTGAAAAGAATCTGTCAGCGCTTACCAGACCCGTGCCCATATAAAATCCTACATCCTCTGTGGTATGCACTATAGAATTGGACAGACCTATGTGAAAGCGATCTCGGAATACTGAAATCCGGAAAGGTGCTCTTATATGGGGTTCATCGAAGCATGGAAAAGCTCTCCGCGCACCATTCGGCCGAAACACTGTAGCAGCCAGTAGTCTACTAAAAGAAACGAAAATATACGAAATCAAGTGATTTGATAAAACGAAAACTTACCTTTCAATGCCATTAGGACTTTCATACTGATCCACATAAAAGCCTTCGGGTTCGGGATTCAATTTTGAATACCAACGTAAATTTAAGGTATAATTGGATTTCTTTTTCAATTTCTCCTTAACCTCAATATAGAATTGTTGCCTAGGTGGGTACTCTAGCACTTTAATGATTTTAATGGCATAGCCTTTGTTGCCGCTCGTTACAATTGCCTTAACAAACAAAGCAAGTATACAAAAACGTAGTATAACGAAGTAAAGGAAATAAATAAATGTTTTGTTACCTTCTCGGTGACATTTAAGTCCTGTATATGCAACACAATGAAATTGGTCTCCTTCTCTATCCATAAATCAATTGTGACTTGACCTTAATTAATAAAGAAAGACAATAAGAAAACGGCAAGAAAAAGTATTTAAAATGAGTTTAAATATAAATCTAAACTTCTTCGAGTAATTCACCTTTGACATCTAGTGTCGTTAAGTTCGGATGTATGGTCACCATATAGCGCATAGGTCTGACGTTAGTCGGTAATGTGATATTTAACCAAGGAAATGGTTCACCATTTGTGGCGATTGGATTAAAAGGCTGCGTAACATTTTCTTCATTTGTTTCCAAACCGGTTGGCAGTTTACGGGCGCATGAACAATCTGCAATAAAATGCAATACAATGGCAATTGATCATCATTCCAACATCGTCCTTTTACCTTTTATACTCTTTAGTTCTATGCACTTAAACTACAAACAAATACAGACATACATACATACATACATACATACATACATACAGATATACAGACATACATTTATGGAATTCATTTGTATTAATAAAGAAAAAGTTGAAAAAGAAAAGAAATCTAATTATGAAACTTAACATTGAATCGAATCAAAAGAAATCAAGAACAAGTTTCTGTGTACACTTTGTATATGACATAATGGGCCATCATCATTCTTAGCTCTCTATAATAGCAAGCCAACGAACGAACAAAAGGGCGAACGATGAGTTTTTATTTGTTTAAGGTTTTATTATAAAATATGATTCATTAAAATGAGAAATGAGAAATGTATGCACATAATGAGAGCATTTCTTACATGCCTAGCTGCGCTTCTATATAAAAAAAAGGTAAATATTTGACTGGGCTGTACACACATACATATACAGATATAGTATTACCTTTGTACACAAAGTATTAACGCAAGTGCTTATCACTCCAACTCAGGACGAATGATTTAAATAAAAGTTTTAATTAACTATAGTGGCATAGTTTTCGTAAAGCCAGATAAAAAAGTATGCACAGTTTAGGTCGAATCTTGAATTTTGAATCATCTTAAACGGAAGCACAATATTCGTCTGCATTTTTGTAAAATACTTAGGTAAATATTTCGACGTCTACTTTAGCTCTTAGTCAACTGTAAACTAATTTTTTTGTTAGTACTATTGTTATAAAGGCATAAGCCAATGTAAATAGCTGCAAGTTATGCTATTATCATGTAGAAGACAGGTTACGGAGTAAATATGTACATAATTCAGCTGAAGGGCGTGTAATGTCACCGCTTTGCTCTCTAATATGGCTAGTAATTGTTGTCTGCGATCAACGAAAGAAACTTACGTTTTTGAACTTTTTATGACACGCGGAGTGCGTTCGGAACCATCCGACCTGTCAAAGAAACGAATATACTTTTGAGAATTTTTCTCCTTTTTCAATAGCTTGAGTACCCTGCCAACAATAAACTCTATCCGGCTTTTCAAAATGGTTATCGGCCATGTCTCCAATTTTTCGAAATTTCCTAAATCCGAGCAGTCAAGTTCAAGTTTGGAAAGGGAAGACAATCGCGCGGGGGCATTTTTGCCCTTTAATTTCACATATTAGGATAAGGGATTGTGTGTTCTTTAAAGTATATTTTCACTTTCGGGAAGCGGGACTGTCTTCTTGTAGCTTAAACGTCCAAACCCAACGATAGATTAGCGTAATAATCGCTCTTGAGTGGTTTTTTCTTCGACTTCTTTCGACTTGGTGAGTAAAAGTTACCCTACGGGCACCGCAAGAAACTGCAACCGACGTATTCTCATAAAACGACGCCAAAACTCGTCTTTGGTTCTCGAAAATATCACCGAGCACACAGGCAAAACACTCCCGTGCGGCTTCTTTTTGCTCCATTGTAATCAGCATATCTTTTCCGTATCGAAGTATTCATTTAAAATGCAATGTTGGAAATGTCTACCATGTCCGCGAGTTCGTGCACTTTCAGTCGACAGTCGTCCAATATTGTTTTATTTTAACATTTCTACGTATGGTTACCTTATTTAGACATATAACTACCATCTTCACCTCACTATGGCCTTATTTAGACAATACCGTGAGGATATCAATACGTCCAGCTTTGATATCGATGTCACTCACACTTTTCAATTGACAGATTTACTCCACATAACGATGATCAATTAGGTGTTAGCTTAACCGGCACAGATCGGACACTTCTGCGACATTTTAAAATGATTGATTTTTCTTCCGGCCTAAGAATTAATATTCCGAGTAATAGTTAAAACTTTCGGAGGAAGCATAACTGAACTGACTTGTCTTGAAATCTGAAAATCTTGGCCATCCTTATCCACTCTGGCAAAAGAAAGGTACACTTTTCATCTCACGTTTCAGAAAGCTAAGAGGAGAGAGGCACTAATAAGCCCGTCGAATAAAAACAGAAAGGAACTTGCGCTCTTGACTTAGACCGCTTTCATCAAGCTTCTTACTTTAACGCTGCACTACTCTAGTATCAATGTAAAAGAATTTATTCACCATGTTGGGGTCATGCAGAGAAATACTTTACCCTGGTCAAGACCCATATAATTTACACATCCTATATTCGGTCGAGAAATTAGAGAATGGTCCGTGTACATAGGCGGGAGCTTTAAAGCTTTGGCTGCAGGCTCTTGATCACGTGAGGCAAAAATGTGTTTAATACTCTTTACATTTTTGAACATCGATATAATGTGGACTACGACGTTTTTCAAAGCATATCATCTGATTAAAAAGATCTGTGCAAATAAGTCCATAGAGGGCACGCGTAGTCCGCCTTTTCAGCTTAAAGTTATCCGTAATTGTCCGACCAGCTGCCGAAATTATTTTTCCATTAAATGTGTGGTTCGTCTTTTGTAGAAGACTTTCCCGCCGTTCATATGCTTCCATTTAATGAAACTTTCACACACGCTATAGCTTCTTCCGTCTTTCCCCCTGCTCTACGCATAATATTGCATTTTCTAAATGTAGTGAGCTTATGAATAAATTCATAAGAGGTTTGAATTGTATTCCGTACATCTATCTACGATTACATCTCCGATTATCAGTTAGTTAACTAATATATATCCTGTGTATGGTCCCCTAACCCTTTTTATACATTCTTCTTATAGATTGTACAGAGGTCGTCGAAAATTTGCTTAACTTCGTGACAAGGTAGAGATATTTATGGTAAAGAAAAAATGCGTACCTTTCTCTTAATGGGGGCAAATTGCTATATTCTTTATAAATATCGAGAGCTTGCAAAGGCCTTATCAATATCTGAATGGATGAACATTTAAAAGTTACAAATGAGTTTATCGATCTTTCCGAATAACTTTGCTAATGTGTGCGGAAAAATAACACGACACTAATGCGAACAGGATGTTGTCTAATGAATTTATTGAAAACACAAAATATACACATCACACACATATGTATAATAGTAGGATGTTAGAAGACATACTAACGAGATTTATGTTTTTCATAAATGATTTCATTATAAAAATATTGCTTAAAAAAAAAAATAAATAAAGTTTAGTACAAGTCTTTAAGAGAACGAAGTAGAAGTAGAAGATGAGGCATTCCAAAATAATTTGAAACTTTTACTTATTAATATTGCAGGAGGAGGTGGAAGGCATCAGGCAAGGAAATGAATATGAATGAATGAAAAAATCCACAATTTTTATCATTTTTTTTCTCTTTGAGTGATTGTGACACTAACATGCGCCATGTAATTATATAAAAAACTGGGACAAAAGTAAAGTATGCGCGGAATTGTTTGCAAACTTTATATATGATCGGGGATAACGGATAATAAGATTCAAAAAAAAAAAAAAAAAAAGTTTAAGATGTTAGTTTGACAGAGGGAGGGTGAGAGAAAAAAAGGCACAGAGGCAGAGATAGAAAAGGAGAGAGATAGATAGATAGATAGATAGAGAGAGAGAGAGAGAAAGAGAAAGAGAGAGTTTTGTCATTTAAAAAAGTTTTACTCACATTTTTATCAATCAATCAAACAAGCATAATAGAAGTATTACATAATGTATTTTGTGTTTTGTTATTGTTGTAATACAAAGTTATTACAAACACAGTATTTTTATTCAGAAAAAAAAAAAAAACAATTCAGAACAGAATCACAATTTGAATAAAACCAAGTGAAAGGAAGACAATACGAAAAAAAAAAAAAACGTAATAAAACGTATTAAATATTTTAGACATAGAAGGTTTGTGAGAGAGAATATGTGATCGGACAGAATTCGAGTGTGATCGAGATAAAGAGTGAGACAGAGAGTCGGTGAGTGATCTGTTAAGTGTTACGAAATTACAGTTACCGCTTTCTCATGAAAGATTTCGTTGCATGTATGCGTCGTGTATTTACATATGTGTTTGTGTAATCCTATGAGATAAGGAAGGGAGTCGTCTTGCAAAATTTACGCGCCATAAAACATTTCTACGCCGCAATTAGTTTAATAATTGAAAATGAATTTCGCGAAACAATGTAACGTCACGTTTATGGTAATAACTTCTTCGAGTCAACGCAAAATATCAGCTTAATTATGTTATGTTTAATTCAATAAGGACTGTCAGTCAAGAAGCATTGGCAAGTAATTAACTGCTGTGAATCGTCAGAATATTGAATGCATGCGGCATTATAAACTTTTTTATTTATCCATTTTTTTTGTTTTTATTCGACCACATGATGTAAGTATGTGAAGGCATTGCTTACATAAAACAGTCATCCGATGTTATCGATGGTGGCATCGATTTAAAAAAAAATTTTTTTTATGTAATTGCAGAAAAGCAAACCGCAGGATGTTAATGGTAAAATGCATTAATAAATAATGCATTTCACACATTTACACAAACGTACGTCATAGTAGACAAAATATTTGTAGGAAAAGTCAAAAAAAAACAACAAAAAAAAAAGGAGAAGAGAAAACATGAAAGGAAACAACAGTCCACCAGTTAATTAAATAGAGCCGTCTACGTATCAGTTTACTGCAGGGACATGCAGCCCGCAACAGATGCATGCTAGCTTGCTTGCTTGCTTGCTTGCTTGCTTCTATACCCATCGACAATGTGGTATTTACGTAAGCAGTTATCTAACGAGAGAAATAAACCACAAAGCTTCAATATATTTAATTAGTAATATGCATATTACTTTCATGGAGGCTTAAGCTAAAGTACGGGTACAGGCTGTGTGACGGTGTTGGCGGAAATATGTTTTTTTTTTTTTTTTGCTTTTCTTTTATCTTTAATTCATTCATTGTGAAATGAGACCAGCAATGAATATGAAAATAAGAGTAAGTAAAGTAAACTGTTTAACTGATTTATCTTACCGCTTTGTGGACCAGCGAAGGCAATGATAAGAGCTGTTAGCAACAGTGAGCCAAGCACTATACCGGCGACCAAAAGTGCACGTTTCTGCGAACAAACAGCAACGCCATTACGTGTTTGACGGCCACCGCTAGATTCGCCTCCTGAAATTCAATTAAAAAATTTTACAAAAACAATTACAACACTTCAATAAATTAATTCAATAAGTTAGTGTGTGAAAGGTATCCGAAGTTGTGAAATTTAGAAAAGAAATCGCCCACAATCAACTGGTCTACGCAGGGCGACGATATAAGCGGGGAATCTGACACTCGTGATATCCATAATTTGGATTTCATTGTCTTTGGATTGTCGTTATTACGGAACATAGTCACTCTAGCATTGGGATTGTTCACACATCCTTTATTGGCATTTAATTTTTCTTCATGGATTTCAATGTACAGAAAGAAATGTCGACCCAGCAATGCGGTGAACTTGGTCGTGTTCCTAAATTTCTTGACCCGCCAGTACGCCAAAGACCTGCGCACATAAATTTCCTTTGGGGACTAGAGCAAACTATGACTTGAGAAGTTTATTTAGTGAAAAATGCATGTAAATCCCGGAATCACTTTAAGTTGGACGTGTATCGAATGGTATCCTTATTGAGTGATCCACACACGTACACAGACACAAAGCTATGGATATATATAGTTAGCGAAATACCTGATAGAAAAGCACAATCATCCAAATCAGGATCATGTGTCATTTCGATGCGTTCACGACGCCAAACTTTCGAACCTCTTTGACCACCGCCTACGATCGAAATCTTAACGGGGCCGCCGGTTTTTTGTTTTCCTGCCAATACGTTTGTTTTCGAATATTTTCAACGTGTTCGCAACAATTTTTGTTGTCTTTCTTTTTTTTTCTTCTTTTTTTTTTGTTTTTTCATTCACTTTTCACACTGACCGGTTTTACATAATTAAATGAATATCTTTTTTCAAATTATTTTCATTAAATATTTTTTTTTTTTTTTAAATAAACTTAATTGTTGGCGAACGCAAGTTTTTAAAGCAAAACTTTTCCTCAATAATATTTTTTATTTTTTTTTTTACATATTTCCCTACAAAAATTTCAGTTAATCAACTGCATAAATAAATGGACTCATGCTCAGGCAGATAATCTCTCTTACAAGAGAGATCGTAAATATGTTTAATGCGAACGATATTTCGAACGTTCTTTTACCCCTTTAAGATAACAAATCTCTTCACTTTGTGTCTAGCAAAAGTTTAAAATTTTAAGACATTTAAATGCAAGAGTAACAAAATGGATCAATTACGTAAATGAACCCATCCTTTTATATTATAAAATGAAGCTGTTTACCCTTTTCTGTTCGTAATAAGTTAAATGGACGACAGACATCTTACGCCAACGTCTTTCCCTTGTTTATTCGTCTTTCACGTTTTTCCCTAATGTTTGGTATGCAATTTGATTTCCAGGTCGTAGAAAACTACATTTCCATGTTTTTTCATCTATTTTTTTTTCTTAGCGATGGCTCCAGATAAACACAAATTTCGATGAAGAGCAAAAAAAAAAAAAAAATAGAGGGAAAAGCCAACACAAAATGCCCAGAAGTGTACTTAATACAAATGAGTTAAACGGCTTTTAATTAGCGTAAGACGAATTCGAGCTCACATACAAGTTCAACTTAAGTCAATCGACATTACATTTACAGCAGCAATCGCATGAAAAAAATGAATGGGCAGATGCCTAGTAGAAGTCGATATACCCAGTAACGTGCATGAAAAAAGAAGCACATAAAATTTGTCTACACAAGAAGGAATTGGATTGCGAATAATCAAGTGAATGACTAGGCAAGAGTAGCACACAAATGAACAGAGAAACTAATTTTCAATCTGGCTCCGATGAAAATCAGTTCCGGCGAAGATATAAAGAAAAACGCAGTGGGAATGAACGGAAAAGTGGCTTTGTAGACGAACATTGATGCGCGAAGACCGGTGAACGGACATTGTTACACGAAAAGACACGAACGGGCGGGTCAGCCTATAAAGCGATTGAGAAGAGTGTATGGATCGATGAAGGAGGACACAACATTTAAATCAACTTAGGCAAAGTTAGAGACTGCTAGGTATTCGAGGGAATAAGCGTACGCAAGGAAATAAAGGCAAACCACCAGTTGAATAAGTTAAGGAAGTCAACGTAGAGATAAATGGACAAGCGAGTCGGCAAACGGACAGTGAAATCAGTTTAAATAACGGCAAAGGTAATTAGATGAATAAGTAAGTCGTAAAGCCAAAGCGAGTGATCGTGAAGGATACATGAGCGGATTTAAGAGTGAACTAACGATTGATCGACGGGACATTGAATGGATTTTGGGATGAATAGAAAAATGTTTGAGCCGCATAGTGTGTAAATGAACTTAAAGCCTTACCCGGCCGATAATTCTGTTTGTAAGTTAAAAAGTCGCCACCACCGTTGTTTTCCATTCTCTAGTCATTGAAATAAAGTGCTGGATGCATAAAAAATAAAAATCTCTTGCGGGCTCTCGATCTATGAATTTCGATCATTTATTATTGTAGTCATATTAAACCCGATTTCAGGTTTCTAAAGTAAATTAACGGCAAGCACCGCCAGAGGCTTTGGGAAATTTACTTTGAGATTCTTTATCGATGTAGCTAAGTGTAGTTTAAGTTTAGTTGTTTACAAATTTTGTGAAAAATTTAGTACACCTTCGCCTCCATTCATTGGGAAAGTTTGAAAAGAGTTCAAATAAAATTGTTTGCAGTGTTTGCATTGTATGAAACTCTAATTTAATACGACATTGAAAATATGGTGTAAAAAGGAATTAAAAACACACTGCCACACACACACACACATAACACATACACACATACACACATACACAAATACATACATACATATACACATACAATCGAACATATGCATCTACCGGAATATATAAGCAAAGCATACTACATTCGCACAATGTTAGTTAATATTAACTTTTGATGCTACGCTATGCCGTTGTGTGTGCTGTCGGTATCGTTCAGTAAGCATATCAGACTGCTTTTAAACGGTATACGGTATGTTCGTATGTATGCATGTATAATTTATATGTGCATAAGTGTGCGCAGCATTAATGTTTGTTGCTCTCCAACCAAAGTTTAAATAACATTGTAAATTTGATTGTATGTAGATGTGTGTGTGTGGGGCTTTTATTTTTGCTGTTTTTTTTTTTTTTTGCTTTCTTCCTTTTTTTTTCTTTTGCCAATGTTTATTCGTCTGCCGGTATATCTGCGTTAAGTGGGTGTGTGTCTGAGAGTTTGTTATTGGCTTCCTTGCTGGCTGTCTGCCAGTGTTTAAAAAATGTCTACAAGTCTGTCTCCCTTTCATTTGTTTGCTTTACCGACCAGATATACTACATTATGTAGTTTTTTGTTTCGTAGATAATTTTCTTTTTTTTCTATGTTTTTTTTTTTTTTTTTTTAAAGGAAATATTCATTTTTATTCCCTTTTTAACCGGCGTAATATTCTTTTTGCTTTCTTTTTCTTTTTTTATAATCTGACAGAAATCAAAATAAAGTACCGAAAAAATAAAATGATGTTTACATATTCACAGCTACACGGAGAGACCATTGTTGTTGGTTTTCTCTCCATATAGTTGTTAACTTGAATTACTTTAGGCGAAAAACTTTAGGGTTGAATGCATAAATTATCATTAAGAATACATTGATAGGCAGATAAAGTGTTGCATTACACCGAAAGAGGAAGCAGATGACAGACGACAGCAATTGAGCTGAATATCAAATTAAATGCTTGAATGAAATTTAAAGATAATTTCATATATATATCAAGCGAAAGATTAAAGGATCCTAAACTATTCTCTATAATATACTACATAGAAAAAAGCGGGAATTGTATAATCAGGCAGCTATATATATATAAAAAAACAAAGTTGTATTTATTCTTCCTCTTCTTGTTCTTCTAAAAGTTTGCAAATCAACAGCAGATTGTTCGCTATGTTTGCATAAGAATTCAATTAAAGTAGTTCAATAATGACGCTAATTAGTTAATTACGGAGTGACGTCGCGGTAGACGCGAATTTCTTAGTAAAAGATATTATAATTTTTTTTTTTTTGGGGGGGAATTGAGTTAGGATGGACTAAGCCAATGGGACTTGTGTCTTATATGTTTATTAAAAGATATTTGACACGACACTGTCTTCATCCTTCCTGTCTGTCTACAGACAACTATTAAGAGCATTAAATTTTAAGTCAACTCGAATGTACCATTTTAGGAGGATTGGAGGCGTATGAGACCGAGGCACGTGCCTTTGAGCCTTTGAGCCAGCTAATTCGTGGGATATGAGAGGGATTCAATAGTTTTGGCTCACCGAAACTCTTCAGACTCTTACAACGAAAAGAACAGCAGGTTCGTACCTTTTAACGAGCACACGGGCGGACGTAAACTAACCTACCGAACGGGCATCCCTTATGGCCCTGTGCCTTTATGTATCCGTCCTGCCTATGATTTCCTTCGATCCATGATGTTTATGGGATACTCCGATTTTGGGTCCGAAGACCCCTAAACTACTTTCCTCCCAATTTTACACCTCCCAAATTAACACCATATTTTATTTCATTTGTTTCTTTTCCTTTTCGACACCTTCTCTCAAATTAAACCTTCCCTATCCGTTCATCACCCTTCCCCATCTTCCCTGCCAAGAAAATCAAGAGCAACCAACAACCGGCAAAAATGGCTCGTAAACGTCTTCCGTCACTAAACTCTTTCTTCCGCGAGAACCTAACAATCCTGCCAATCCGTTGTCGTATTGTTTTCAAAGAGTAAAGAAATGAAACAAGGTTGCTAAGCTAAAATCTCATATTACAAAATCCGTTCTACTAACAGGCGATTACGGAACGAAAAGTATTTGGAATTTTAAGAATTACAGATATGACGGTCAAAGTCCCTACCATTTGATTCATTAAAGCACAGCTGAAGTGATGTTGGCTGGAACCCTATGCAATGGATTATTTAACGAAGATAATGTTATTAGCGGTCTAAATTCCAAACATTAGAACAAGCTATAAATATTTCTTTAATAGGCGAATAATGTTCGAAATAATGCCTTCATTTCCCGTTAAGAATC